CTGTGCTCGGACATCCGTCCCCACGTGACCGGAAATGATGTGTCTCTGGGCTGGGAAAAGCGTGCCGACGCGTTGCGTCACGTGCTTCGTGACTTCATCAGGGTCACGCTTTTCCCAGCCCAGAGACACATCATTTCCGGTCCTGTGATTCCTTACTGAGCTGCTTGGAAGCAAACGATTTCCTGGAGGAGAGTTATAGCCTTGTGGCCCTTTGCGGGTCGAGTTGGGGAGGTGAGCAGGCATTGCTGCCATTGGAGGATTTTTTCCCTTTCTTTTTTATGAGCACTAGAAGTGAAGAACACTGAGTGTCGTTTTCACCTTACTGCATGGACTGTGTTTGTTCATTTATGGACACTTTTTCATATTTGAAATATCACAAGTTCTAGTGATTTTTTTATGTAATAGTTTAATATATGGTTTTTTTCACAATAATCACGTACATTTGATTGAGATTCACATTTTTTTGTATTTTTTATTTTGTTAGGTTGTCACATTTATTATTAGAAATAATCACAAATATAGAAAAAAATATATATATATATGGTAATTAACACAGTTTTTTATATATATAATTTTTTTTTCATCACTGTTTATTTGCAATATCATGGATTTTTTAATTTTTTTTTAATGTTTGATTTGAAGAATTAATTTAAGGGCAAGGAAAAGTTTTTCCTTATATATTTTGTTTTATATTGATATTTTTTTATGTCACGGATATAATTTATCTATGAGGTATGGTTTTCACTTAATATTATATGCACTGTGTGTGTATTTAGGGATTTATTTTAGCGCTTCACTATTTTTGGTTTTGATACTTTATTACCTATTGGTTAAGGCAGAGTGTTAGCAGCTGTTAGGATAGGGACTTACCCATACTAAGCGCAGGAGGATATTCCCATTTACTACATGTAATAGTATCTTCTTATTTTGTCACAAACTGTTTTTAAATAAACAAACAAAAAAAAAACTGTTAGCAATTTTAAAAATACAGGTGTACCTCGGTTTACGAATTTAATTTGTTCTGCGGGACTTTTCGTATTGTGAAAAATTTGTAAACCAAAACACAGTTTCCCATAGGAATGCACTGAAAACCAATTAATCCATTTCGGAGGTCAGAAAAATGTAAAAAAGTCTTTTATCTGTTCAAAACTTTTTATAAAGTGCACTTTAAAGGCATAAATACTGTACAGGGACATGCTTAAAAATGAATTCATAAATGCATTGAAAACCAATTAATCCGTTCCGGAGGTCAGAAAAAAGTAAAACAAAGTCTTGTCTGTTCAAAACTCTTTAATAAAGTGCACTTAAAAGGCATAAAGGGACATCATTAAAAAAAATTCACAAATGCATTGAAAACCAATTAATCCGTTCCTATTGCGAAAGAAATTTGTAAACCGAGGCATTATTTTCAATGGATTTTCATTCATAAACTCAAAAATTATGTTAACTGAGGCGTTCGTAAAGCGAGGTATGCCTGTATAAGGCTCATTCACACAGCCATTCATGGCTGTACATTGTCCAGATCAGTGGACCTGGTGCAGTGAGGTGTGGTTTCAGCCCATTCAAATTAATGGGCTTGAAATCGCACCTCACAGAGCTGCAGATGAATTGCACAGAAATGCACAGCATGTCCTTGTGTGATTCAGCTCAGGGCATAGTGTGAACCAGCCCTAAATCAAAAATGTCTTTCCTAAGAACAGGAACCAGCCTGTTATTACCTTTCTTAGGCAGAAAACCCTCATCTGTGTGCCTTTTTTAACCTTCCTAGCGGTCTGATTATGTCCATATTTCTGTGCTCAAAGCAGTACATTTTTTTGCATTGAAATATGTATTTTTTTTTTATTGTAGACCTGTAATTTTTAGGAATAACTCACTGAAATCTGTCCGAACAAGAGTCTAGTAAACATCCCGGGTATGTTAAAATTTGAAACACAAAATCATAAATTATTAAATTATAATTTAATAAATAATTATAATAAATAATAATATAATAATAATACATTTAATTCAATAATATAATCAAACCAAAAACACTGTCATATTGCCCTCTAACCATGGTCCAGCCGCTGATTACAAAGCAATCCACTGCAGATCACAAGTAAGCAGCATCGTCCATGTTAAAGGGGCCAAGAAGCAAATTCCACTTCCTTTGTAGAGATATCCTCTTACTTCTTGTTATCTCTCTCATTGCTTCTGACAAGGAGGGAGCTACTACTACTAATGTGGAGACCCTCTCAACACTTCAGCTTTGTATCCTTTTCATCTCTCATGATCTGGAGACACATCTGCTTCTACACATGCGGGTTTATTTCAAAAAGGTAATTTAAATTCATAGCACAGGACATGTCTTAACTTCCAGCCTAGGTTTTGTATGTCCTATTATTACATTCATTGATTCTGTATTTGGTTTATCATGTCTTGCATGTTATTATTTTTTCTTTGTCAGAGCAGCCTTAAACTCCTTGTGAGTTTTCCAGTTGGCTGGTTTATTTGAGAATTATAGGGATTGATTGATAACTATTTTGTGTATAAAATAGTGTATTTACCTGGTTTGTGTGCTGCAGCAGGGGGTTGTGTGCATACTCAGCATGTGTCTGTTGTCTTCAGTCATGTATTTTTGTAATTATAATAAAGTTATTTCTTCTCTATTTGTCTGTATTTTGTGGTATGGCAATAACGTTTTTGGAGTTGAGGGAGGGTTGGTTGTTATAGGTTATAATGGTTCATTTTTGTTGCACAAACAGCGGTGTTGGTTTATGCAGGGTTTTTTACCTTTCCCTACACTATCCAGAGCTAAAAAAACATTTTGGCTATACAGGCACTTTAAGCACCAGTAACTGTTTTTCCCATTGAGGCACTTTCACTGGACAGGAAGGTGGCACATGGTGGGGCTCTGATCTGATATATGGAAGCCAGGCTCCATTTGCAAAGCAAAACTAAGGGCTCAATTCACTAAAAAATATCACGAGATAGTTGGATCATGTGACACATTTTTCCAGTTATCTCATGTGATATTCAAAATGTCAGTTCACAGTCAGTTCATGCAATTTTTACTGCACAAGTAAAAAATGCACATTAAACACTGCATAAACTGACTGTAAAGTCAATTCACAAAGCTAAATAAATAACTAAATACAATTATTGAATAAGTCATGGTCTAGCCACCCATTATTGAAAAAATTAAATAGCACTCTTTGTTAAAGTGTTACTAAACCCACAACAGTAAAATCAGTCTGTATATGCAGTAAAGCATGCTTTTTATACTCACTGTGGAACCTAAGGGGTTAGTCCTCTGCATTGTTTAAAAATTCTGTTTGATCCTGACTTCTCTGATCCTCCCCTTCTTCCAGTGTCTCCCTTGTATCTCCTGATAAGACATATAGTGTGGAGACATGCTCAGTTTAGTGTGTATTGCTAGAGAGGTTGTATTTTTTTTTCTTGGTAGAGTGCTTGTGATCAGCACAGGGCCCATCAGTACTGTCCAGACAGAGTTCAGGGGTTTTGCATCCCCTTAGAGCAGAAAGAAAACTCCTCCTACAAGCTTTAACATGTGCTCTGCTTGACACTGATAGAAGTTACAAGACTGCTCTAACTGCTGATGGGAAAAGGTATTTAGCAGTTTATATTTACTAAAATAATTGCATTTCCATGTTCTGTGTACTGTGGAAGACTAGATAGAGTGAACGTAGGGTCCTGGGTTTAGTAACACTTTAAGGAGTGGCAACCCCCACGTCCTTCACAACTGATGAGTCATCAGCTGGGGTCCCCCCCCCAATCCAAGTGCAGATGTACAATCCAAATGCACATGTTCCTGTGTTAAAAATGGTTGTGTGTATAAGAGGGTGATACAGTGACCATCAGCTGGAACCGAGCAGAATCAGCAAGGGAGAATGTCACCAGCTGACCGAGGATCACCAATATGGGTCCAAAAGTTTTAAAGAACGATCACATAGTTACAGCAAGGCAACGTTTCAGAGTCTCGCAGAACCCCTTCATCAGGCATGTGAAAAAATAAGTGTCTGGTATGGATTTGGGGAGGGGCACATTATTTCTTTATTTTAGAGTGGGGGTTCCGCTCAAAATCCATACAAGACCCAAAGGGTCTGGTATAGATTGGGTGGGGGTCCATGCCTTTTTTTTCATAATCTTTTTGTCAGCAATTCTTTTTTTACATTCAACTGTCAGCGGGGGACCAGCTGACAGCTGACAACTTGTTACAATACCTCATAATACAATAAAAAAAATAATTTTAGTAGTGTTTTTAGTGAATGCCAACAAATTTTTGTTCAGTATCTTACTGCATACTTGGTAATTTTGTTATTCCAGTCCTCCTAGGAACACATGAATTAATATGCATAGTTCCACATGCAAAAAGGTAGAAATTAAGTGCTTAAATAATTCCATCATCTCCAGGCATAACTAATTGGTGAGATATAGATATTGGGAGGCAGGGAGTCCAAATGGATTATCCATTAAGATCTGTAGCAAGGTGTATAGCTGACCAGGAAGAAGCAACTACAGAGAGACTGTGCTGTTCTCAATGCTCATGGAAGACTTCTATGCTGATCTAGCCGGTGCCGTTCTGCTTCCATCCAAAGGAAGCCAGTTGGATGTGAGGTATCAGAAAAACTTTGATGCAAGATTGTGAAGGATCATGAATGCAGTTTGCTAGAAGGACTCAGATCTGGCTGCAGATGGGCTAAAAGACTGCAATCCCCAACAGATGGGCATAGAAGGGAAAGGGGCAAAATGTATTTTTACCAGGCTGTGACGGGGAGAACTTCTTCTTTCTATGATAGGACCTGGGCAGTGCAAACCTCCACCTAGCCTTGTGCAGTAAGCAGAGGGCCATCATCCTTGGGCCTGAGACCTTGACATTTGGGAACCAATTACACAGAAAGGAATCCCTCACTGAGGATATCACCAGAGAAGTCTCTGGTTGCCAAGCATCTGGACCAGAGTTTGCTGTGTACATAGTTCTGGTGGGCAGCCACTGGTTAGCTTTATACTACCACTGCTAACAGAGTGAAATCTACTCTCATTTAGGAACACTGTACCACTCAGGGGCGGACTGACCATTCGAGAACTTGGGCACTGCCCAAGGGCCCGGGGTCAGTAGGGGGCCCCATGAAATGCCCCTGGTACTTTTTATAGCCTTTTTTTGAGTGTGGGCAAGGACACAGGGGCCCCATGATCCCCTATTGCCCAGGGGCCCCATGAGTTGTCAGTCCACCCCTGGTACCACTGCATGTAGAATTTTTAAAAGAACGGTATTTAAGTGTGCCACAACAAAGTTTGGGCATCACCAAATAGCTGGCAGAAGGTTGTGAACAACGGTTTATTCACTAATGACTGCTGTCACAGTGATCACCCACTGGTTTTTCCCTAGCTAAAGACACTCTTTGCAGGTTGAATACAAAATGCACATTTGGAACAATTACTGATTGCTACCAGACATGTTAATTGTTCTGCCATTGTCTTATTATTATTGATATTATTAACTATTGCTGTCGTTCTTGTGTGATGTACTCCTGTGGTATAACTGCCAATTGTGAGTTACTGTAACCTAATGTTTCAAACTGTTAATCTATTTACAGCAATAACATTTCTTTCACTGATTGAGTTGCTCACCCTTAAGTTGTGACAATATACTCTACTTACAGTCAACAAGTTTGGTGTCAATATCTGGTGCCTTTGCATAGTTGTGTGTGGGATATTTAGATTTGTACATGCATAGGTGTCCTTTACCCATCCAGGTGTCAGAGAGGACAGAGCTGTTTGCAGAGTAATTGCACAAGAACAGAGAACCCAATACACATAGTGATTCCTCCGTGGTTACGCACTATATTTCAATAGATAGGTAAAGGAGAGATAGAGAAACCAATGGTGAGCTGCACATAACTATAATCATCTGTACAACCTCTGCTTATGGCTACTATTGCAGCAGGCAAGAAATGGAGGCTTTAATCAACTCCTCTAGATCCAGTTATAGCCAGTTTCAAAGGTTCTGGTGGAATTGATGGAGAAGGAAATATAGGGCGCATCAGCAATGTCAACGGTTTTCTGACCACAAATGTTTAGTATTTAGGAGCTACTGCTTCTGACAAACAAGCCATCTAAAAAATAATTTTTTCTTAAACTGATATAAATCAAATGCAAGTAAATTAGGGTGGCACTGCTCTCTGTAATTCCATAGCTGAAAATATGCAGGCAAAGTAGACTGTGGCCCAAAATGTCCTCCTGGTTCCAAAATACAATGTACAGCTTTATGGTGTCCCTCCTATTATTTAAAAAAATGTGTGTGCTTCCCATGTCAACCTGAAGCCACATGAACAGGACCCTTTTGTGGATATGGCACATAAACAATTAACTTGCTAGCATTTGCTTCAGCATCATTAATTTCAATGAAGAAAGCATAGGGGGCAGCCTTGATCAATTTTTCAAACAGAGAGATATATTCCAGTGCTAATAGCATGCCACAGAATGCATAATACACAGAGCATTATTTTTTCAGGGCGTGCATGATGATTTCGGTAATGTGTCAGAGCATATTTAATATTACAGCAGTTAGAAGAATAAAATATAATTCATTTTGATTGCTATATGTTACTTGCTACATGTACATATTGTTCTTTGCTTTTGAATGTAAATGTCATATACATGTTTTCCCAATAGCATTTACAGGGCTTTGAGACAGCAGACTCATCTAATAATTAAGAAAGATTGGAGCAGAAGCCTTTCTTTCTAGCAGGATGGTCTCTGTGGGGAATATCATGAACTGAAGTGGTTCACAAGCTCACACTCAGAAAGGGAGGGCCTGCTTGTAAGGAATCAAGCTAACGTATTAAAAAAAAACAGATTAGCTTATTTTTATTTTCTCTAACTGTGAACATATTTACTTATTTATTTCTGTAGTCTTGAAAATGGAGATGTAGTGTCCCTAAGAATGTCTTTTTAATAAAAAACAAACAATCTTGAAGAATTATGAGATTCCTTGAAGTCTTCTGTTGATATGTTTCTTTCAGCGATTCAGTCGATGCCAAATTTTTCCCAAATACGAGCCTGAGAACAACAATTAGTCTATGGCTGAAGTATGGTTCAACATATCATCTAATAAAATAAATATTTAAAATAAATAGACACTGTGGATAGAGAAGCTGGAATTAAACTTTTTATAAAATTGGTTGTTTGAATAATATTTTACTAACCATAGTATTTGCATTTTAAAAGTGTGCTTAAACCTTATACAGTTCCTGAACAACTTCTCCTCTTTTATATAATACATAACTTTTTTTTCGAGGTGGGGGGGAGCAATAAAACATTAGATTTATCCTAGTCATATGTATTGATGTTTTTGGCTATTTTGAAATATTTGTGCCTACTTAAAAAAAAAAAGATAGTACATGAAATTGCAATATACCACTCATGAGTGATCACAAAACTGAACTTTTAGTGGAAACTAACTAAATCTAACACAGTACAATGCCAAAGATGGAAAGGGCTGGAGTAGTAAACTACCTGTATGTGCTTCATGGACACTCAAGAAAGGATTCAGACCAGGGGCGGACTGACAACTCATGGGGCCTATGAAAATGTACCAGGGGCATCTCATGGGGCCCCCTACTGACCCCGGGCCCTCGGGCAGTGCCCGAGTTTCCAAATGATCAGTCCGACCCTGATTCAGACTATAACAAAGGTGCTTGCATGAACCTTATGGTTCCTGTACAAGATCCGCAGGCAGGGGTGGGTTGACCATTTGGAAACTCGGGCACTGCCGAGGGCCCGGGGTCAGTAGGGGGCCCCATGAGATGCCCCTGATACCTTTCTCATAGGCTTTTTTGAGTTTGGGCAAGGACACAGGGGCCCCATGAGTTGTCAGTCCGCCCCTGTCCACGGGGTTAGTTAAAAACATTTCAACACCTATGCAACAACTGGCAAATTTGTATATGGTATTCTTAAAGTGTAACTCAAACACTCTCATTTAATCACGGGCCACATCAGCATTATGGTTCAAAGATCCAGTTGAATCTGTAGAGTTAGATGTCAAGAGCACTCAACCTCTCCCTCCCTTACCTTTACATTAGAAGTCAAGAGTCCCCCACCCTCCCTTACCTCACAGTGCACCCCGCTTACCTTGTTCTGGTGCTGGGAAGAAGCTGGGGAAGGGGGGGGAGCTGGGAAGCAGAAATTTCAAAGTCTGGAGGAGGACCAGAGGAGGGCTGCAGTCAGCTGCCAGAGTTTGCAGAATACTGAAATCAGGGGAGGCAGAGACAAGGGGGTGCTGTGTGGCTGCACATAGAAGTGCAGACTCTGGAGCAGTAGTTCTTACCTCCTCAACTGCTGAGATGGGGGTGGCAGAGACGAGCCTCTGCAGCTGCATTGAGAAGAGCAAGATATGGTGGAAGAGTTCTGTCCTCCTGTCTGCTGCTTACTGCTGAGACAAGGTGGGAACGGAGATGAGAGGGGCATCGCAGATACAGAAAAGGTTCAAGAGCCATGTGAAATGGCCTGGTGGGTCAGATTCGGCCTGTGCACCTTGTGTGTGACACATGTTCTAGAGAGATCATCCAGAATTTGAGCTTGTACTCCAGAGCTCTGTATAAGATTGTACTCCAGAGCTCTGAATAAGACTAAATAAGATTGCAGGGACAACAGAAATTTTAAATGATGGATTATTGGATTATGTAATTAGAATAGAGTGGTTTCATCAACTTTCACACTTTTCAGCATGTCCTTTGATAATCAACATCTGCCTTGACACATTCCATGGTGACTGGATCAAGGTGATTGAGTTATCTTTGTGGCTATAATTTGCTGGAGTATGTTTTTGATGTTCATTAGAACTTTGGAAGCTACTTGGAAGACTTCTGAAACATCCTAAACATTACAGAACAAGTTTAGTTGAAAATGATTATTTAATTACTAGTGTTATCATGATCTGGATAAATGAGAACCTTCACAGACATATTAGTATTTAAAGATCCAGCCATCTGAAAAGAAAATTAAAAAACATGTTTTGTTCTTTCACACAGTTATATGAATAAACTGTATATGATATGTAGTACCTATTGGGTGGCACCATGGGTACAATAAAGAACATCAAGTGCTAGGTCCCAACTACAAAACATACTGTATTTGAAAACAAGGATATGGACTTTGGAGGCACATAACAAACCAAAAAATTATAAAACAAAATAGTTTTTTATTATTAACAGTATCATAAAACCTTGCACAATCAACACTTCGTATAACACTACATAAAAATCTAAGCACTCTCTATGGTGTGATCCCTTTATTACACCACATATGACGATTATACAGTATAAACAAAAGTGTTACACCAGCTGTTTCCAGTTTTTCCAGGTGCAGGGGTTCCCACCTTCCTCTATATTTAGCTCTAATAGTTGCTTCCTCAGGAGCTTGTAGTGAGTGCATCTACTCAATGAAAAAAATACATAATATAAATTTCAGGTAGTGTAAATACATACAATTTATTAATTAAGAAACTACAACACTGACTGCATATATAAAGAAATTGGCCTCTTCTGGCCCAGAGAAAGAACAACATGAACATACACAGACAGACCCCTCCCATTAGGGGTATCCTAAATACATAACATTAAATACCATTATAAAATGGACACATAGGCATTCCCATAAACACTTCAGAGCCATATCTTTGAATACATAATGCCTATAAAGATCTAAAGGCACAAACATAAAATACACTTTACCAAACAATTTTTGACACCATGCTGACTGCAAACACAAGAGTTTTTTGTCACTATCATAAAAAGTGAATTGGTTATCTCATTGGTCCACTATCATAGATGTTTTTACCCACCCTTAACCTAACCCCAATAAAGGGGTACAGGCTTTATATGTACAGCTTAAAAATGCTGTAGATGAAAAAGGGAATGAGAGGAGGGGGGAATAAGGTGATAAGGGGTACTGTATAATAAATGGTGATGAAGAAGCAGTAGTGAAATAAGAAGAGAGTACAGGAGTGGACGGGAGGAGAGGGTGGGGGGAATGAGGGGGTTGATAAAATGAAAACTGTAACAAGTAACTGAGGATTATGTATTTAATCTTGTGTTGGATTTTGAAAAATGTAATCAATAAAAATATAATAATTAAACAAATCCATAGCTGGAGACATTATCCATAAATTTAATCTCTGCAGGTAAATTAGCCAAACTTGCTATACTGCCTAAATATATCCTTCTAGAGAAACGGTTTGTGTGATAAAATCTAATTAATCCTGGGGGTTGTGTGGCATTTAAATGCTCACTCCAGAGGGTTTTCTTTTGTAGGATCCTCCTATCCCAGTCACTGCCACATGGGTCTTTAGAAATTACTTCCAACACAATGAAATGTACATAAGAGATGTCAAATTTATGATACAGACCCAGAGGGCTGCTAGCTGGGGTAAGAGTCTTAGCATTTTGGGAATAGTAAATGCGGTCACATAATCTCTGTGTAAATTGGCATATTTTTTTTGCCAATATAGTATGCTCCACACTTTAACCCCTTAATGCGGACTGTACGCAAACATGCGGCCCCACTGGACTGGGCTTTATTCTGTGGGGCCGCTAAGTCACTGTGAAGCCCAGCCCCGTGTTTTTTCTCTCTTAATGGAGCAGAGAGATACATTGTATCTCTCTCTCTGTGTCCTTTCAGAGAGGAAAAAAAACAAGTGTGTGTAAAAGAAATAAATAAAAATAATAAAAAATAAATTTAAAAAACTAAAAAAAACCTAGATTAAGATTTGATCTAGTTCAGTGCCAGGGTTAGTGTTTGGGTCAAGATCAAGGTCAGGGTCAAAGGTTAGTAACAGTGTCAATTAGTGGCAGGATAACAAAAAAAAGCAAAATGTGCACCATTGTTTCTGGGCCCTGCTACAGGTACAAACAATTAACATACACACATATGTGGTAGTGCTGCGATCATCAGGAGCAGGAGAATTTATTTTGGGTTGTTCTTTGGTGGTAGGTTATGGCAGTAGCAAGAAATATACAGCTACATTTATTAAAAAAAGTTTTTGTTTTACTATTATAGACCAGTTTTCCTTTGATAAAAAAAAAAAACAGGAAATATCTATTACTACTTACCACCAAATGAAAACCCAATTTGTCCTGAAAAAAACAAGGTATAATCCACCTAGATGCACAAAGTAGTTGATGCACAAACAGTGTTGATGAGGGAATCCGCCCGCAGAGCCATTGTATTCTCCTAGTGGGAGGGGGAGCAGGAGAAACAATTCCAAACCGGAAGAAGACAGTGATTATTGCTAGCGGCTTTACCAGCCGATAACGATAATCATATGTAAAATCCGTCAGGTTGATTGTAACCAAGTTGATCAACTTGGGTACATTCAGCCTGCCCATACATGGTTTGAATCTCGGCTGGTTCCAGCTGAACCGGCCGAGATTTGAACTATCTATGGCCTGAGTAAGTGAACATTCTTTGTTCCTTATGTAAATCAACCCCAATGTGTTAGGATCACAGCACCATCACTGTGAGCATTGCTAACATACGGTATACAGTGCATATGAAAAAACACATTTCAGCACATCCCCATCCCTATAAATCCACATGGTTATGTATATTTGAGCAAGCACATATACTTTAAACAGCAAAAGGGATCTACACCCAGGTGTGCAATACATATTACAGCATATACTTACTATATATTCAATAGTTATTAAGGGATAAATGTTAATTTAGAACATTTTTGAAAATATTATTTTATTGTCATTTCTAACAATACAAAATGTGTCCCAAAATATGAATAAAAGTGTAATTACGTGTTAAAACTTTACTCATTCACAATCGTTTTCTTCAATCAAAAGGTTAGATTTCATAATCTACAGACAACTCATTTAATCAACAAATAAAACTCAAAATCAAGACGTGAGAAAAAAAGAAACTACACAATACCAAAAAAGAATTCTTTGTTTTGACAATGTGTTTGGGATTAACAAAGTCCTACAACATTTTTCATTATGAACATATTTTCTCAAGGCATTAATGAAATTCCAGCACAGAACACAGACAATGCTCAGGGTATGTTTTAAATTACACGGTGCTCCATATTTTTTCAATAGAGTTGCAATCTTGTCTATAAGAACTTGGAAATTGAAATATGATTACTAAATAACTTTAGGATTAACTTTGTTACAATTTTAACTGGTACAAGAGTGGCTAGTGCCATACATGCGATGCAAACTGAATTTTTTACTAAATGATAGACTGGGAGGTGTGGTCAAACTGTAGACCTGCATAGATGTGTGCTCCATGAGCTCTGTGACTGGTAATTCCTGAACCTATAGAGGTCCCTGCTTTCATCTACTTTCAACATTCACAGAATTACAAAAGTGTCAACATTACTCTTTGGTAATGATTATGCCTTTAAAGAAACACTTTTCAAAGCACACTCTTTCCTGCCAGAGTGTGTGCTTATCCTGCTGTTTTCACAGTAGTAATAGGAACTACTGTCCATGGCGCAGAATGAACTTCAGACTTCCGGTTCCGGCGCCGGATGCTGTAAACGCGGGACCCGCGGCTCCCGGGATCCCGGCTATACAAATCCCGCTAACTGCCTCCGGGTCCCCGCTCTGCAGCCCTCGGGTGTCCCTTACCTTCTGGCAGTGGCCCCAGCATGGAGCGGTACCTTCTGCCGGCGCAGTCC